AGGGTGAAGATAGCGAGAGGGTGAAGATAGCGAGAGGGTGAAGATAGCGAGAGGGTGAAGATAGAGAGAGGGTGAAGATAGAGAGAGGGTGAAGATAGCGAGAGGGTGAAGATAGCGAGAGGGTGAAGATAGAGAGAGGGTGAAGATAGAGAGAGGGTGAAGATAAAGGGGGGATGACGTCGATAAACAAGTAGTGCAAGAAGGCAGGGGAGCCGGTCCCTGTGACAGGCGGCCAGAGGTGGAATCAGGAGGTTGATCAATATGACTTGTCAGAGGTGCACAGTGTAACTTGTCTAGGTGAACGTTCAGAGGAGGAGGAGGACATCTTACGGTAGAATGGAGGTATAAAATAATGTACAATGCTTTTGTGTAGTTAGTTGACTCCGGACAGCTCGGTTTACTTGTGATGCAAATAAATCTGCGTGAACTGAAGAAAATCCAATCTCTCTTGTGTTCTGTGGGTGTTCGTTACAGAGTTCCTGAGAGTGAGATCCTGTGGTGTCTCACCACGAGTCAGATAGATAACAGTTACTGAGCCAGCCGTTAGGTATTGAGTTTTAACATAAGTCAGAAAGTCAAAGAAGCTGATCATCAACGGGAAAAAAAAACACAACATTTGGCGAGCCAGCCAGGGGGAGGACTCCACGGGGACTATATATATATATATATATACCCACCTTGAGGATCTCGTTGAAGCCGTAGTTCTCCTCCATGATCTTCTGTTTCTCTGAGTCCAGGATGGCACAGCAGACCAGCAGGTGGAAGTTGTCGCAGGGCAAATCGGTCCACATCACCTGAGGACACACAGGTAGAGACAGGTCGACACAGATCTTTCCCAGGTGTCCATCCATCCAGATCCACCACAGAAGAAGAAGAAACTCACCTCCCAGAGTCTCAGAACGTCCTGGAAGCTGAGCTCTCTCTTGAATCTGATCAACAACCAGCGGAAACAGAAATACAGAAAACCTGAATCCTGAGACTCTGTGAAGCAAAGAGACAGTCCTGTTAGCGTCTCCTATACTGGACTAAAGGACATCCTGTCACAGCTGGATCCTCAGGTTGTCCACAGTCCACCGAGTGTCCAGCTGTGGACTATCAGATTGTTCAGCTGCTTTTCTCTGTAGAGGTTATTTGTTCATGAATTCTATTTTCTTGCTCTTGTTACCACACAACTTTCATACTGAATGCTTTTATTGTGAAGGGCTCTGGGACTTTTGTTTTGAAAGTGAGTTCCAGGTGAGTTCACGTACCGAGGTAGTTCCAGAAGGACAAGTCCAGCAGTCTGAGCAGAGTACTGAGCTGGATCAGCTGAGTCTTCATGCCCTGCATCTGCTCCTCAAAGTTCTGGTGCTGGAAGACAACAACAAACACAAACCTAACATGTGTTTTCATTGTACTTGTATATATGTATTATATATAATATATATTTATATATATAACCTCACCATTTGCTCCATGAAGGAGACAAAGCACCAGAAGGCGTCCACCTCGTTCTCCATCACGTAGAGGATCGGAGACAGCAGGTCGCTCATCCCCTGGACGTATCCTAAGGAGACACAGAGACCTCAGAGTCCTGGTCCGCATGTCCCTGGTCATCAGGAGGAGACACCTTACAGAACTCACCCAGGTCAAAGTCCAACATGCAGTAGGTCATCAGGATGTCGTGGAGGAGGACCAGACCCGGGTTGTCGATGCCTTCGTAGAAGCGGTTGCTGCGGTCCGTTCTGTTGACGTCTTTCTCTGAGGACAGAAGACAGAAGGCGTTATAGTGTCTGAGGGTCTGCTGGTCTTCAGTGATCAATAACCAGTATAGGGGGGACCTCACCGATCAGACTTCTGTAGTCCCTCAGTCTGGAGTTCCTCCTTTCCTGCTCCTCACTCACGGACTTCCACTGCAGCTTCATCCTGAAGTATTCATCACTGTGACAGGACACAGTCATCAACAGTCAGTCACTATCAGGTGTTCACTGATCACTGAATCATTGATCATTGTTCAGTTCAGCTCCACTGTCCTGTCACATTCTATAGAAACACCATGTGGTCACTTTATTAGGTACACCTGTTTAATACTGCAGCAGCCCTCTGACCAACCAACAGGGGGACTCTTACTGCCTCATGATTGGCTGATGAGCAATGACATAACGAGCAGGTATCCAGGTGTTCAGGTGAACAGGTGAACAAGTGTACCTAATAAAGTGACCACTCAGTGTTTGTGAACATATTAAAGTAAAGTCGTACGTTTTGGTTCTCTGCCGGACTTTCCTCTCCTCCAGCGTGCTGTCCCAGGGGACGTAACCCAACAGGAACTTCCAGGCTTCTTTCCTCAGAGCGTGACAGAGTCCCTGTAGAGACAGACAGGATGAGACAGAGTGCCTGTAGAGACAGACACGATGAGACAGAGTCCCTGTAGAGACAGACAGGATGAGACAGAGTGCCTGTAGAGACAGACATGGTGAGACAGAGTGCCTGTAGAGACAGACAGGATGAGACAGAGTCCCTGTAGAGACAGACAGGATGAGACAGAGTCCC